TTTTTTTTTTTCCCCTCGCGCGCTTTCGATATTCTGGAATGGCAAAACAATGTCCACGCGCAGCTGCCAGTACAGCAATGTACCGATCGGTTCGACGCCTCTTTTTTTTTTTTTTTCAACTCCGGTAGGAATGAGCTGTGAAAAATTAAAAACCTGAGCGCTTCGACTCGGCATCACGCGACCGGGAAGACGTCACCGAAGAAAAAAAACAAACAAACAAATTTATACACCGAAATGCGAAACTTCTCCATAGAGTGCGCACAGATTTCTGCCGAATTGGCATCCACATTATAATGTGTAGTTTCCAAAGCTGATCTACCGTTTTGAGTGGCAAACACTTGAAATATAATTCATTTTTTGTCTCGGACTCACGCTTTGAAAGAGACTTACATTACTCCGATGATACCCACGCGCGCAAAAAGACTTTTACATGCATCGCAACAACATAACAAATATATCGATCGCAGTTCTCTTTTTTTTTTTTTTTTTTTTTTTTTCAGAGGGAGAAAATTGTTCCATCATCCAGTAAAAAAAAAAAAAGACGTAGAAAGTTTGATGAATCGACACGGAAGAGTCGGCGCGAGACAATTTTTCACCGCTTGTTTGACTCGCGAGGGAAAAAGTGTTAATGAAGAGCAAAAACCCCTGTATAGGTACAGTTCCCTCGAAAAGATTTCACTCGCCTACATGCTATCATTGATATCTATATACCACCGCGACGCCCGGATCTCTCAACCCCACCGATTCTTCGTTCCTCCTTTATATAGACATGCGAGCAAATTATCGTGTACAGGTGATTCATTCGATCGGACGCGCTAGTCTACCCTCGCCAGTCACCTGAAGCATACTTTGATTTTTTACGTCTACATGCACACGGGTAACACAAGTTCGTTCATACATTATAGAGAGGCCCGAGAAAATATGTTGAAAGTTCCCGATTATCCCACACAATGTGAGCTCAATTTAATATTTGAACGTCATAATTATCTTCAAATATTCCATTAAATGCAGATGTTTGTAAACGTGCTGGTGTTTTTCCCTCAGTCTTCGATAATGATAAAAAACCGATGAGATTACTAATTGCAAGTAAAGCTGCACCACTCGAAAGTTTTTTCGTTTATTTTCAAGATCACGAGTACGTAGCTCGAGAATACCTGCAATATTGCCGTCTTCCCGCGTAATTTTTCAAAATAAGTATATGGTGTACGATGCACAGAGCTCGTGCGGAAAAATCGCCCACTCCGCACTTGTGGGCGCAAGGCTCCAGGATGGCGCGATTCTTCAGGTGCAGTACCATGGCATACACGCGTGCAACGAAGGATATGAAGAAAAAGAGTTTTAACAACGTAGCTTCCTACGCGCCGGCGCCACTTGGGCGTATCATCGATGATTCGTCCGTCCAGTGGATTGCGAAACGTAATAACGCGCATGGAGTCCATAGGGAAGTGCGTGGGCACGAGGGGCCATGCCATATAACACAGCGCCTCCCGGCAGGTGGGACGAAGCGGAGAGAGGACGTCGAACTACAGTGAATGGATCCGAGAAGTATTTACCTCGGCTGCACTTGGTTGCCCGGGCGCTGATAGCTGATGATGCTGGCCTGAGGAGACGGATGGCCTTGAGTAGGTATATACACGTACATTTACCTATATATCCCGCGACTGTATAATATATCCACGCGCGCGCGTGTGTTACAAGTCTGTGTGTTTTGACGTCTGGTTCCGTCGAGATGGAGTGGGTGTTTCGTATCGATTTGTGTATACGTGTACACGTACAGCTTTTTTTTTTTTTTTTTTTTTTTTTTTTTTTTTTTTTTTTTTTTTTTTTTTTTTTCTTTCCCTCTCGTTTGCGACTTTTTTACGATAACTGTACCGATGTTTTTCTCCAAAAAGGTCTGCCTATACCGGAGAAATGGCTTTTTTATCTGTATCTGATGTCTACATCTGCCGACGATATTGTCGGCATTACTACACGGACATTTCTTGCGTCAATATAACTGGGAAGGTGACGTGGCATTACACAGTTAAAACAAAACAGGGCGAAAAAACGAAAATTTTTTGATTATGAAAATTGAACGTCAGAGTATATTTGTAGAGTACGGCGTCGCCGATGACCTGATTCAAGATGCGCGCGACTATTGAAATATGCAAGAAGCTTCAGAGGGAAAATCGACAGTTTTACTTTTGTCGATGCATATAGATGAAAATCAGGTTATAGCTTAATGGAATTTTTTCGTGATGATAGTATACTTATTACGGAGGGGGGGGGGCAGATATTTCAGTTCTACGTCGGAAATTGCATCAATCCTTCACCGAGAGTATATTTATACATGTATAAAGGCTTTTAACAAGCGCTGGCTGCCGATAATAATTAACAAAGAAATTTAATCAAGAAACCCTATATGTATATATTCGCGAACCTCAAGCAACCATTTATATATACACCACGTTCGCAAACACGCAGATGTCAGAGGCAGCAGTACTTACTATACGTGTTTGTGTATTTTCATTCAAAAAGGTGTACAACTGGCATATACGAGTCATAAGTTGCGGTGCCCACTGCTCGTCCCCTGCAAGTGATGGGCACAGCTTGCACTTGTCATTGGCAAGCATCCGTGTCCACGAGTTCGGTTACGACACGAGTACCTATATAGCGCTGTTGCTGGGTTGGGTAATCGTTGGAATGCCGCGACGTATTACAAGAGTAATAAATTTAAGTGTGATTTTAGGAAACATGTTTTATCGCAAATATTGTGTCGGAGACGTTACCAATAATATATAATTACTGAAAAAATTTCACTTCGGTGATAAATATTTGATAACAAGTTGGAGCAGTGGGTGATATGCTAGTGGGCATTGCCTAAACGAAAACGTACCTGTCGAGTTGAGCGTCAATCTATGATGTAAAAATCATCTTTGTCGCTTCGTAGAGCCGCACACCTCAAACGAGGTACTGATAAATCTTATGTTGCAACGGAAAAGTCAATGCGATAAAATAAAATTGAGGCGATTCGAGAAACGGTGACACGTACGTACGGTTTATTTACCGACGAATCGTAAAAATCAAAATTCCCAATCGAAGAAGACGAAGTGTTTCGAAAGAACTTCTTGTTTGGCCAGCAAATCAAGTCTGTTCGATAAACTTTGCCGCTGGAAGCCCGAGGCTTGAAATTTGTGATTTTTTTTTTTTTCTTCTTCAATGACGACTGTATTAAATTTCCCGTGCCTCGATGCAATAGACCCGAAAATCGGTGTCAAAAGCTCTCTTCGGCGGCATAATCACACTTCATTAGCATCGAAATTCGTGTCGGTGGCAAGCCGCGTTGAATTTTCAAGTGTACCAATTGACACGAAATCGCCGGAGTGAAAGTGCCGATACACGCGATGTACTGTATTCCAGTGGAAAATTGTACAAACGAGTTTGCCTCTGCAACAACAATTGAACGGAGAAGAAGAGGAAAAAAAAAACAGGTTTATCTCTCTGTATAATCTCAGCTGATTTCACAATGGTTTCGCGTAAACTTTATGACCTACTAAAACTGTAGACGCAGCCGCGTCCGCATGAATGAGCGACACCGAAAGAAAAAAGTTGTCGAAAGGCCAAAAACCGGACGGGGCAAAGACTTTATAATCGCGCTCCACAACCGGCTATAATTGTATACACATACTCTGCTCGTGCAAGTGGTCGCAAAAGCTCGAGCGTTGGTCAACTACAGGCGATGGCGGTGAAACCGTAGTGGGTCACAAAGTTCTTCTTGGTATGGCATGCATAACGGGTGGATATATTCGATAACCGTAGATTCATGCTTGCCTGCCGGGTTTTGGATTGCCGTTGACTGCGGTGGTGCGGTACACGATGGCGTGATCTTACAAATTTTCTTTAGAGAATTAAAAGTATATAGATATACGTGCATTCCTCTCCAGGGGACAACTGGAGTGTTGAGTATTTGCCATACTCTTCTCAAAGTTGTCCCTTAAAGTAAAGTGTTCCCATGATGGTATGGCACCTACAGCGCGATTTTTTCATATTTCGACTAGAAAAATCAGCAGTTACATTCCTTTTCAGGTTTTTCAATTTCATAATTCAAGTCAACTTTTTATTTCCTATCCGTTGGTCTAGGTTGCGGCTGGTTTTTTAAAAGAACCACATGGCACTACTTCAATTACCACATAACTTTTTACCAAGATGAAATATGACTAAAATATTCCGGATCTCAACGAATCATAAAATTTCTCAAATCCGGTATGAGTTGCGGCTGGTTTAGATTTCCGACCACCTTCGGGCCTCAGCTCTTGGTCTATTAAAGTAAATATTACCATACAAGTCAACAGAATCCATTCCCGTGCTGGTGTCACGTGGTAATTCAGCTGACGTATCGTGAAAAAGTGTATGCTCTCACTATTTGCAAATGGAAAAATTACTTAATACTGCGACTTTGCACTTGTGCATTTACCTCTCGCTCAACCGCTCGTGTGGAATTGAATTATTATATTGACTGGACTCCTCTCCAATTCTCTCATTTTAAATTATTTTTGGCTAACAGCCAGTTTCCTGAACGGTGTGCCGGCATGTTTTTTTAGAGATTAAAAAAAAAAAAGTTTAGCCTTTGCGAAACGAAAAATACCATGGACTAAGATTTTTTTTTTTTTATGTGGAAATCCGAAAGTCATGCGACACCAAGGCCACGAGCCCTTAAGCCTCATAAAGCTGCCGGCCTCATGCTCACTCGTGACTCACATAGATATAAGTACACAGTGTTTTCTTTTAGCCTTTGAGGAATTTCAACGTCGAAAGCTAAACAGAAAACAGAACGAGCAATCATCAGAGCTTGGGTCACAGCCGCAAATCCGCACCTGCACACGCTCGATGTTTAGGTATGCGTGCAGATGCAATATAAGTGTATCTACATGTGTATAGGCATTAAAGCTATAATAATAATTTTTCTGCTCTTTCAAGTCTGCTTCAGTTGGGTTTTGACGACTGAAGGATACAGTCGTACCAAAGTGACAGAGGACCAATTGCTCTATACACCTCCATCTTAACTAAGAAACCGAAACTATACGTGTCAACAACGTCCACATTCTTTTTATCGATCAGAGAGAGAGAGAGAGAAAGAGGTATGTGTCCTCGTGTTTTTTTTTTAATTTTGATTATTAAATGGCATATTATTTGATTCGTTTGTCATTCCTATACGTGACGCTCATAAAAAAATTAAAGTGACTGGCCAGTCAGATTAAATTACAATATGGCCACATAGCCAGTACGGCGTACCAAATATGGATCCTTTGTTCGATGATAAATATTGATATCTCTGGTTAGGTTAGGTGTGTATGCCAGTCGATCTTCGAGCGAGAATACATTTTAAACTTCTTACGTGTCCTAACATTATCTTCAAAAAAAATTAACGCAAGTTTAATAAAAATAATACTTGCTTGCTTTAGAAACGAAAAACAAATCGTCGATAACAATCAAGTGTAAATTTTTTTTTTTTTTTGCAGCTTGAGTTAAAAATATGGAGTACGAGCCGTATGAAATTTGTCCCCACGATAAAAGCCACCAAATTCTCAGGTCACGCATGGCCGTTCATCTGACTAAATGTTCTAAAAACCATCGTAAAACCAAGAAAGAGCAGTGTCCATACGACCCACGCCATCTCATCAATCCTGAAGATTACCAAGTAGGTATTAGTGTAATTGGTATAGGTGTATTAGATCATTGAAACTTTTAAACACCTAAATCTTAGTATGAACTATTGACGTATGCTTACAGAGCCATGTTAAAACCTGCCCAGCTCAAGAATCTGTCTTGCATCATCGTCTGCATGGTGGCGATAACAAAACAAAAACTATTAATATTCCTCCAGTGTCTATTGCCAGCACAGCAGAAACAGTTATGGAACTACCTGTTGTCAATTGGGATGATGTGAGTAAAAACTTATGTGAAACATGTTCCAACCCAATAGTGAACGATTTTTTATGAAGCATATTTTCTTGACAAGTGAAAATTGTCTGATTACTAAGTGTCATTTAAATACATGATTTTAAATATTCAATTTTAATAGGATCAGGAGGTAGCTAGCTACAATCCACTGCGAAACATTGAACAAAAGGAGGTTCTTCGACCTTTGTTGATAGCTTCAAAGTCGGTAAAGAAAAAATTTAAAGAGAATGAAAGAAAGCGTATGCAGCAGCTGTTGAACGAAAATGAGAGAAAAGAAAATCAGAGACGAGAAGAAGAAAAAGTCGCTGCGGTAATTATCCCTCGTATTTCTTTAATTTTGTTGTCAATGATTCTTAGTCTGTTAAATATGATCTTTATTTACCTCGTAATCATTTAACAGCAAACAGTTATGTCTGCTCCATTCGAGGCACTGACAGATTAATCAAACAAGGCAAACATAAAAGCGTCAGTACTAAATTATTCAAAAATAATCATATGTTTTAGGAGACTGGTGTACGTAAGCTTCAAAATAAATCTAAGGTTGTAAAAAAACCGAATGTAGAAGAAACGGCAGGAATAACTGGAGTAATTAAACAAATTGAAGAAGTTCAGGTAATTTATATTTTTAAATTTTTTAGTTAAATTTTCAAGTATCTTTAAAGTACGTTATGTTGGATTTTATAAAGAATTATCACGATTTATTTCAGTTCATCATGAAATACAAAATATTCATTTTCATTTGAGAGAGCAACGATTACTCAATAAATAATAAAAATCAAAGTTCTAAAAATCGACGATCAAACAATTTTGGTGTTAAAAAATTTGTTTACTCTAATATTACAGATTAATGACAAATCTGTTGCACAACCCGAAGCATCAGGCAAGCTCCAAACAAACCAATCAGCTAATGCCGAAGCATGTGCATATCAAGGAGCAATACCAAAAGAAGCAACGAATACTACATCGATTGAAGATTCATCCACGAGTCAGCAAGCCAAAGAAAGTCCAAATTCACCAAAAAAAGTCCCATTCAGTTACGCTACGGCCCTGAATCGTAATGTTGTAAGTGACGAAAAAAATAATATTACTTTGAGTTCTTCCTCCACATATGTTGATAACGCTACTGTAGATAAGAGTTGTGTAGAACTAAACCACGATTTTGATAATGCTCTAGAAGACGGCAACGAAGAGGATCTAGAAATGAACAATATTCCCGAAATCATAAATGAAATGGAAATTGAAGAAAAAAAACGAACTCAACGTTCAACGCAACAAAATTCTGCTAAACAGAAACGCACCAACTTAAAAAAAGAAGAAAAAAAAGGCAAAATGAAAAACTGTAAATAACCACCTTCGATAAGTTAAAAAATAGTTCTGAAAAAAAATATCATTACGTCAGTAGTGTCTTCATACCACGTTAAATTACAAATAAAGCAGAAAAAATGTAAAAAATGACTGTTAAAACTGGTGAATGCGTTGGTTATATATTGATTAAAATACTAGGGTACGAAAATAATTTCTTTTTCTTCTGAGATTTCTGCGAAACATTTACGTTGTATGTAATTTCACTTAAATATATTTACGTATGAATAAGAAAAAATTTGTTTTATTTTATACTTTATCTACCAATAAAAATAAGCATTTTCCGCCCTTGGGTGGTTTTGGGAGGCTGGTACTTCCTCGGGCGAAAAAGCAGTTTTCCGGAACTCGTTCGAAAAGTCTCCTTTACGAACCTCGTTACGTCCCTCGCCTTCGGCTCGGGCCACAAACCTCTCGGTTCGCAAACAGAGACTTTTCAAACTCGTAGGAAAACTACTATTATTATTCTTGAAATTGTTATTGTGTTGTAAAAAAGTTAATTTTTCATAAAAAAGTAAAAAAAAAAAAAATTATTCCTAGCACAATAAAACCTCACAAGTATGAATCAAAAAGATAACATTTACATAAAATTATTAAAAAATATAAATAAACTAAAAATTTTAAGTCGAATTTGTCTTACGTGATGTATTCTGCACAAAGCTAACACACCTTAGCCAGCGAAATATGTTTTCCCGAAACTGCGTAGGCTTATTTCTGGTCAGCTTTTTAAATACTTTAAAAGCTTCTTAAAAAAAGTCCCCCCCACGTGTGGGTGGTCCTGACCATCTGCTGTTTCAAGCGGAAGGGCTTTTCCGTAGGTGCAGCTGAGTGCATTTTCGTCAATGGAATACCTTGCTGTGGCTGTAAGGGTGTACAACTACACCGGCGCCTTGTATAAGTCGTTAAAGTCTCTGCAGGAGCCACAAGACAAAGTAAAGGACAGTCTTCACAGCGAAGTAACGACCATTAACGTCGCAGGCGTGGTTCTTTTGACGCTTTGTAAAGCTCGACTGCTTATTTATTATAAAAGGGACACATGAATATAAACCGTCGCTGTAATGACCCATACGATTCACTCTGAGAGAAAAATAACTCTCATACGTGGAAATCTTAATTTTCCGCAGTAAACCTCATATTTGTAATTTGCAAGTTTCGTGTTCAACTTTTTTACAGCAGCATTGTACAATGTATAAATAAACAAACAAGATAACTATAATTCAACATACACGCGCTTTGACTGATCTACGAAAAAATGGCACGTAATCTAAAATGAAATCATTGATTGATAACTTCGATTAAAAATTTCACACTCCTTTCAGAATTGATAAAAAGAGCGGAAACACATTAAGAATTCACGGCTCGAAGCGAAAAAAACTTTTTCTCCCGCCGAGCGAAGAACTTTTTTCCCAACTCGGAGTAGAAATATACTTATCCCTCGAATACATTTCCGTAACGAGAGAAACATATAATTTACTAACAAGGGTGGGGGCGATTAAAAAATCAAAGGGTAAAGTTTTTCATGCCACGCGGCTGCACGAAGGGCGGATATAATTTTTCTCCCGCCACCGATGACGAAGTTTTCCGAAAAACTTTTCTCCCTCGCGATAAATGAATACAAGTCAACTTTTTTAATTGCTAATGCAGTGTCCCCCAGGGGGTTGTATGTACATGCAGAGGTAAGACTGACTTTAATATTCAAGCTGCGCGAGCCATTCTAACGCATTACCAGTGCAATGAATCCTTTAGAAATTTGAAAATTAAGCAATTATAGTTAAACTCGAGTTGGATGTGAAGCAACAATGTTCGGGTGATCGACCGACGGAGGGGAACTTTATCCTCGTGTATGAGCTCAACACTTTCTCTCTCCTCTTCTCGTTCAACAGCGCAAGATCATCTATTACGCGTGCGATGACTCAGGGTGTAACAGATTTTATCTCATCGCCCGGCGAAGATAAGAATGCCCCCCCGAATAATCGTGCAGCACCAACGCTTGAATACATTTCACGCGTAATAAATACATTTGAATTCTCGGGAGCCAGCCTCTACGTGTCATGATCATAATACGTCCGAGGTTGCGTTGGATAGAAAAGTTTGGCCGCGTTCACAAAGAGTAGCATGTGTGTCTGGAAGGCGAGGCGGGTAAGAGGATTACGCTGGGGAGGATTTTAATTTTTTTTTTTTTTTTTCAAAAACTTAACCATGCAGGTGAGGGCCTCACCCGCGTGTCTTTCTTTTTTCGTTACTGTGCACAATTATCATTGCTCGCGGGAGAGGAAGCGTTGAAGGGTCGTCGATTGGGACCGATAGCGGAGGGTCTGAATCCACGGCTTGGCTTAACAACGGTTATTTCGAAAAAATAAAACTGGACAGCCATTTCGGAGTTTTTCAACTTTTCTGTTCGTTAAATAAGCTTTTTCAAGCTTCCCCCCCCCCCGAGCTTTGTTTTTTTGTTGAAATATTAGATGAAATGAGTGTATTTTACGTGCAATTATCGAGCTCGAAAAGCAAAGGATTTTTTATTCCCAAACTCACGGCGTTCCATTGGCAGAATTGGCGTTGAACATTTGCAACTCACCTGTAACAGAAAAACAAAATGGTTTCGTTAGATATAAAAAGCGTAAATTTTCTTGTAACTTGGGAATTATAAACAATGGGGGCGTTGGTATTTCTCACGCGACAGAAATGCATGCTAAAAGAATAATGGCCCCAAGAGGGCGATATGGTGTTGTGTTGTACGGTATATGTGTGTGAATGCGTAACCAATAAGGAATGCACCGGCCAAGTATAAGTGCCTACGTGACAAAGTCATAACTCATTAACCTCGAAAGCCGAGAAAAGAAGGGCAAGCCCATCCGCGGTCTCTCTGGTAATGATGCTTCAGCAGACATGACGATTCCGAGGGAGCATTGTGTGCAAATCATCGTCGTTCGCGACGACACTGGATTGTATTTTAATATTATTGTAAATAGCTGCAAAAAAAAAAAAAAAAAAAAAAAGTTTGTTTCTACATCCTACGTGTTTGCGTCAATTTGATGAATTCATCACTCATACAACACAATATGGCGAAGAAGCTCTAATGAACATGCGCCTCGGTAATTAATTGTGCATGTCGTTGACACGATTACTCAAATGAGTGTGTAGTACCGACTGTGGGGTACTATAATTCAAGGGTCTTTAGCTGTTTGAGCTACTCTTGAAAAAAAAAAAAAAAAAAAAAAACCAACATATTTTTTGGGGGAATATACTCCACGTCGAACCATTAAAAGAACTCGTCTTTCACGAGAGTAAATGAACGTGAAAAAAGTATATACTAAAAGAAAGTTTTAACTCGAGTCCTCGTGCAAAAAAAGAAAGAAAAAAAAAGAGCGAGGGTACAAATATTTTTCTCAGCATGATTTTTCGTGCCCAAGATAAAACGCCACGCAAAAGAGGTTGAAACAGCCATTATTGCGACCGCAGAGCCCGTCGAGCGAGAAACATACTATACAGTCGATAATCGTAACGACATTAAAACACCGGCACTGCGAATCGGGCGAGAACCACTTTGAATTCACGGGCATCAGCCGTTCCGTGCACCGCACCCGAATCAAAGTCATCCAAAAGGGTAACGCGTTAAATTGCACATTAATAATTCACGCGCCACCTCCGCCGGACACAGCCCACCTTAGCTCGCGGAAAGGGGGTACAGGGCGCCGAGGTATATACACGCACTTCACAATGTCCTGTTTAGCATCCAAAGCGAAAACGCCGGTCCGCTGCAGCAGAGTTCGTTGAATTTTCCAACTCCACCCATACACGTATACTACGTAATATTATGTATGTACGCGCGAGTAAGGAGGTCACGTACAGTAGCGCAGCTTCCGTTGGAATATATTCTGCGAAACGCCGCAGTTGGCGTAATATCAAGCGAGAGAATGTGCTTCGGTCTTGTGAATTTCAGGTACATGTATCGGGAGATTTAATTGTAGTACCAATTGGATTTGTCGATTGATTGTTGGCGGGTATGATAACGAGGTTGCGCTATACCGTTACTGGATATCAAGGTATCACCGAAATCTCAGAATCGGCTAAGAGAAACAAAAGAGGCAACGAAAACACCAAAAACCGCTTAAAGCTCTCAGCTCGTCACGGACCTTGGCTCTAAAAGCTCTCCCTGCGGAGATCATTTGAGCTTCTCTGTGTACGTTGGATAAAAGCTTGCCTTCGTTACATAAAATCAATTATCTGCTCTGAAGCTCCTTTGTACAGTGTGACCGGGCCAGAGATATAAATATTTCGGAGCATAAGAGAGAAACATTGTATCCTCTTTATACTGCAAGTTTTTCTTCGGTATGACCCAAAAAGCTCAGCGTCTACGAGTCAGATCCCGCGAAAATTTGTCACTTTGCCGCAAGTGCATTACACCTCCTGAGAGCGCCCATCGGTACAGTTACGAGCTCGCGAGGAGAGATAGAGAGGAATGAAACCGGTTTCTAACAAAATCGGCCCTCCGCTCGCTCCACCATCAATTCGAAGAGGATAAGAAAAAGTTGAGCGTCCCGCGGGTGGATTAACATTGACGCCGGGGCTTCCCTCCATCACACCTATATATATGTACATCCATAGAGTATATATATATACGTATGGCAGTAGCGGGCGCTCTTTGTACCTACATACTCGCTGCACTTTTGTATCATATACATGGAGCCCTTGCCCCCACCCCCCGTCTCTCCTCGAGAGCCCGAAGGCACGGGCACATTCTCGAGCGAGGGTTTTGGGTCACGGTTGAGCTTTGAAGTTGTCGAACGCGCCCCCCGGCGTTTCGACCGGAGGGTCGCGCGAAAAAACCAAGCGTGCATATTTCGGACGGGAAAGCGGGTTAGTTGGGCAATGGACGGCCTCTTGCTGAAATAAGGGCTAAAGATGTGCACATACGAGAAGAAGAATACCTCCTCCCTGTTGTACCCATCTATCCGTGCATGGATCAGAGTCAGAGGGGAAAAAAAGGATACACGGGCGCGAGGCAGAAAGCCATTGTGCAATCCGAAGATCGAGGTAGCGTCCAGGCCCAAGCCCCTCCGGGGCAGCCCGAGAAAGTTTGCACGGGTCCACGAACCCTTTTCTCTACGAGGACAGGTATATATATACACATATATAAAGCGTATATAAAACATTTGGCTCGAAAGGTTGAAAATGTTTGTCGTTCGATCGCAGTTTCTTCATAAGAATGG